TGCCTGTGTGGCTGCACAGGTCGCACACTTGGGAAGCCGGCCCTGCACCTAGACCTGCTCCAAGTTCAGGCATGAAACACTCTGAGAAGTGAGTCCCTTGTACTGGACTAGGCACATACTAGAGCTGAAGAATGAAAACCTGTGTCTTAACTCTGTAGTTTTCCAAATCAATTAGAACTGCTTAGCCCTGCTGGTCAGAAGAAATCTTACCATAGTGGAGACAGTCTGTTCATTACAATAATTGAGGACTCTTCTGGGTCTGAATAGTTTGACATCAGTGCCAACTGCGTGGGAGCCTGAGGCCACGTACCGTGAAGGTTCATTTGATTCATTCCACAAATATATACTGCACACCCATTCTGCCAGGTCCTGAACCAGGCGCTGGGGTACAAAATAGGTACGAGCCCTGCCCTCAAGGAGCTCACAGTCTAGCTAAGAATCTCCAGCCTCATGAGAAAACTGAGTGCAGTCTAGTATATTATCTTGAATATCCCAAGTTTCCTGAAAACATGAATCAAAAATTTACCAGAAAGCACAGTTGTAAATGGAAGGTGCAGGAAAATTTAAAAGAAAATTCAAATGTTTGCCTTCAGTAAAAACCATGGCATCTAAGAAACTTAGGAGAGTTGAAAAGACTTTAAAGGCCGTGGGCCAGATTTATACTTTTAAATTTAAATATTTGAAAATCATCTTGCTATCTGAGTGCCATTTTATTTTCTCTCTCTCTCTCTCTCACACACACACACACACACAGGGTTGTGTATGTGAGGCGTATTCCTTTGGATACCACCCTCTTTCTGTAACTAACTCCTGACTCAAAGCAGCACCAAGGGAGAGTCTGGGGCTTGCCTTGGGGCTCTCATTTCTGCGTTCACTTCAGTGGAGAAATTCTTAGGACGCCACTTAGCATCATCCTTTGGGCATCAATTTTGGCACAGCTTTATTCTGCAATGAGAATACGCGTGTCTCTATCGGTGTGTGATAATCTGAACATCTGTTCTCATGGTTATTAACAACATTGAATGGCATCTAAAATAGTCTCGAGTCTATCTGGAGTTTCTTCCTGTTCTTTTCCTCTTTTTTCAAACCGTGAAAAGACCTCTGCAAATACAGAGCCTTTGCTGCTGCTGTGCCGGGCTTTGGTAACTGCCGTTTCTTCCTCCATCTGGCAGCATCCAGCTGAAAAGCCACCAGCCCAGGTAGCAAGTGGGAGCGTCCGTTAGCTGGTAGGCCACGGTGAACGTGGAACGGGAGTAGTAACAGCCCACAGTGCCGTCTCAAGACCGCGCCTGCAGCCTGTCCGGGCCCTGCGGACTCTCCAGCAGGCCTGTCCCGTCTGCGCTCGTTACAGGTGAACACAGCATGAGGAGGACGCGGGGAGCCCTCCGCCGCGGGCCGCCTGGCCTCACAGCGTAGCCGCGCCACCCGCTCAGCAGATGAGGCAAATCAAACCGAACCAGCACCGACAGACCAGCCAGCTGGCCAAGTGGCCGCACACACCTCAGGGCTGGCAGTCACTTTACAGTCACTGTAACGTGCCTTACAGCCCTTTCCACTCAGAAGTGTTTCACACACACTAGCGCTCACGGGACGTGTGTAACATACTGTGCACGTAACTTCACCTCTGATCATGGACAAGCGGACTGTTAACAGTGCTGTCGAGGAAGGCAGGGAGGTATACGAACATATCAGAAGACTCTCATCAAAAATAATGACAAGTTTACCATTTTGGCACTTAGACATAGGCAGTAGTTACGGAAACATGCACACACATGGTTGCTTTCGTGACCAGCACAGGGCGTTAGGAATGAATTTGCCCAGCACTCAAGGACTGCTGCTCAGTCAAGGGGCTGACTCAGCGGGACGCGACCAGCCCAGCCCTCCCGCTCACCAGAGCCTCTCGGGGGTTCTCTCGGCGTAGGTATGGCACTTGCTAGAGAACAGAACTTTGACGTGATGTGACCTCAGTTCTGAGGGCAATGTGTGCTGACACAGGAGTGGGAACATGGGATTCACCTTCCTGGTGTGTTTTCCTAAAGACACTCCTGGTGTAGCCTCTTCCCAGGGGTGTTACATGGAGCAATGACAAAGTACACACGTGCTTACGTGCTTCAGGGTTTCTAGGGAAGAAGACCACACACAGTTTTCAGACTAAAATAGAAGTCTCCTGCTTTAGCCGCGCTCCATTTCCACAACTGAAAATAAGGAACATCTGTGTACTGGTCTCCCTAACTCACTGAGCGCACAATTGCCACAAGCCGACTGCTCTGCAGGTGGCTTTTAAAAACAGGAGAACAATTGATCGATTTTTTAAAAAGCCTTTTGTATTTACTAATTATGAATAACAATGACTGTATAAAACTTAGAGTGCAAACCACCAGGCTGGACTTGCGGCTCTCGGGGAGGTGAGACCTGGGACGGCGGTGCTCCCTTCAACAGCACAGTATCCACAGTGCTTGTCAACTGCCCCATCGTCAGCCCCTGATCACTCTGATGGTGACCACGCCTCAAGGAGGACAAACATGAATGTTTCGCTGAGTCTGCTGGCTGTTAATTTTAATTCTCGTTAGTGTGGCATTTATACAAGACTGCCTATCCTCCGTTGCTCTTCTGTGCCTCAGAGGTACCTATCCTGCCTGGGCTTCAGGTAGGAGTGCGCGGACTGCATGTATGCCTGGCAGGTTAAGATGGGAACCCTCAGAGAAACCATCGATCCTGTAAACGTTCTCTGACGTGGTGCAGAAGGCCAGCTCCCAGAGGCGGCAAAACAAAGGGCAAAACGGCAAAGCAGAAAGCACAGGCTTTGGACCCAAACAGACCTGCGTTCGAGTTCCAGCACTGCCGTCCTGTGACTTAAGCAAGGTTCGCTCCGCCTGCCTTGGTCGTAAGGTGTGTACATTATTGAACACGGGAGAGGCACTCACCAGTGGTTAAGAAGTGTTGGCTGGACTGAGTCGGGCAACATGAGGGGCCAGCATCTGACACAGGACTCTCCAGAGGCGTGAAATTTACAGACACTTCTTTCAAGTATCAGTGCACCACGGTACTTAGCACCTTATTTTGAATGATCACAACAGAGTGTTTCTTCCTCTCAAACTTTATTTTCTTTTAAATACCTCTTTTTAAAAAGTTTATGGCAAGCCTATGTGTTCCACTGTGCTTCATGGTAATTTTTTTGATGACTGAAAAATAACTATTTTTTTAACATCAGTGGTAAAATGATGTCATTTAAAAATTTTGTCCCAAAGCCAACACTGTTCCAAGTGAGATGTAACTTACACTACCTGTGTGCATGGGTGCTCGGTGGGTCCTTGGAGGAAACACCATTTTTAATGGACGCAGTCACTCGAAACACCTGCCGGCTTTTCAGGACTTTGCGCCTTAGGGCTCAAGTTCTCAGCATCTACGCCTGTGCTTCCTTTTTCAATCCACTGGCCACTTGCGAGTATTCACAATAATACAACTTAAAGGCAGAATAAAGTGTTCATAAGTCACTAACAGCCAGCATAATACAGTAGAAATTGCCCTGAGCAAGGAATTAGGAGACTTGAAACGGAGTCCTGGTTCTGCCCCAAACGTTGCAGGGTGCCCCTGGGCAGGACGCTTCTCTCATCTGTCAAATCATGGCACTGATTCCATTTGATCGTCTACCTCTAAAACTGTGTTCATTTACTTTTCTGAAAAAGTATCAAACCCCTTCGAGAGTTGTGTTAAGCACCAGATGGGTATGCAAGCGCTTCCAGCCTCTGGGGTTAGCGGTGGGACGTCTGCATTCTCCTGACTCTGCAGCAGTCTCTCTGTACTAACGGCTTCCGGAATTCCTCTCCAGTTGGATGTCTGCTGCCTTAACCCGGTGTTTTTCACACTGGGACCCCGGGGCGGCCTGAGAAAGACGTCTTGGGGTTCCTGTCACCTCCCAGGCTGACCCAGAGTCTCCTGGCTTCTGCATTTGTCACAAGCTCCTAACGTTTGTGACTCACTTGGCCTAAGAGAATGCGACTTCAGTGAGAAAGACCAGAGCCTGGCTTAACTAACTCCAACGATGGCGAACCCCTTCTGAACACAACGCCACTCACGTGGAGGGACTAAAGGACGTGGCTCACGTTAGCACAGCAGTCCGCTTTGTGCCTGAGCCCTGCTTGATGGCTTTTACTTGCCGTGTCTCCATGTCAGCACCCAGTCTTGACATCCAGAGTCACCGTCTGCCTTAGCTATGACATCCGCTCAACCAGAGAACTACCGTTCTCCCCACACGGACAACGGGACGGTTGGCCTTGTGCCACCTGCTCAAGGAAAAAAGTCAGGAAAACTCACCGACTCTGCTCGTGGCCTCCCTGTGGCCCCAACAGAGTAACGTCATCCTGTGTGATTCAAATAACCTAGCAGAGAAAACGCAGAAAGCCTGACATAGCTCTCAGCACTCTGGGCACAGACCAATAAGAAGGTCCTCTTCTGTACGACAGAAATGACCAGCGTCCATGCCTCCCCTCCTGTCCTTTCGGATCCTGTCAGTAGGATCCAAATACCAAGTGAGGGCAGATAACAAAGATTGTAAAGTCATACAACGAAAGCAAATGACAAAAAGATGTGGCAATCTGTTTCCACAAAAACAAGATCCCTCTCACTGTGAAAAATGTGTATAATTTTAACAGGAAACTTAAAAAGATATTTTGTTGCAAGACTAACAGTCATGAGAGTAATACCACTATCTGTGCTCATTATAGAGAAATATAACTGGCAACTTTAAAGGGCCAAGTATACTGATATATGAAAATTAAATTTGTTTTAACAACCAATATGCCAACATCACACCTCTGGGTTTTATTCACTGCTGATGTCACAGTTTCTCCTATCCCAACCAAAACACCTGCCAAAGGCCCACAAAATTCACATTAAAAACAAAAACAAACAAACAAACAAAAACAAGAAGAAGGTGAAAGAAAGGAAGAAACTTGCCAGGAGCAAACCACCAGAGGAACGGGAGCCCAGACGCAGAGGGTCAGCAGGGGCAGAGGGTGCTGAAAAGCTGCCGTCCGGAGCCTGTGCCATGGCGGCTACGGCGGCGCCGGCGTGAGGCTGAACGCCCAAGGGGCAGGTCACAGGTGTCAGTGGGCCCAGAGGAACCAAGAGCTTGACCCAAACTTACAAGATCTTCTCAAAAGACAATACTTCACCTAAACTGAAGTAATCTGTGAGTCAAACACCAGAGAAGTCCCTTGTTTGATGTACGTTATGCCTAAAACTTTGGCTGATACAAAGAAACCCGCCCACTAAGGCACCCAGAGGCAATCTGACAATGTGTAGGAGAGAACTTTGTGGTCAGGACCACGTCATTGTGAGAGTACAAAGATCGGATCACCCGAAGCGGGCTGGCTTCCTTGGGCAGACAGTCCACGAGTTCATTGCACTGCCTGTCGAAGCCCAGCAGGCGGATCCCGTAGCCGTGCGGAGAAGAGACCATCCGGCCGTCGGGGCTGAAGCACAGTTCTTTGATATAGCCCCTGCCGACATTGGCTTCTTCAACGTAATGAGTCAGCCGGAGTGAGCAGCGCGGTGAGACAGGTCGCACGGGAGTGCCCTCTTGGAACTCATAGACACAAGTCCACTGGGGGAAGAGAAGGGGACACAGGTTATAGAGCCCCAAGCAGGGCTGCAGCTCTGCCCTAGGGAAAGGCTCAACACAACGCCAGAGACAGAACTGCTGTGCAAAATCGTCCAGACGGCTCCCCAGCCCCCAGTGAACCCCACTTCCAGGTCGCTGCCCTCGTCCACAAGCTGATGCTGTCCGGTGCCGTGGCGCCCCACAGCCTGTTGTTCCCTGAGGCTGTCCGTGCCGTCCACAGTGTGAACACACTCACTTTTCTGAGGCAACAATAATCTTGACATTTAACATACCCCTAGGGACCAGCCAAGGAGTTTTGGTGGCACAGTGCCTAGGCATCAGACTGCTAACCAGAAGGCTGGTGGTTCAAACCCACCAGACGCTCTCTGGAAGGAAGTCTGGGCAATCTACTCCTGTAGAGATTTACTGCCTCAGAAACCCAGAGGGGGTCACTATGGGTCGGAACTGACTCGACGGCAGTGGGTTTGGTTTGGGTTTGGATTAGGGACCAGCCGCGCCCTAAAGCACCTCTTCCCTCACATCCAGCAAAGGCTCTCCTCTCCCGTCACTTGCAGCCGCTGCCGCCAGTGAGGCCCTCAGCAGCCTCCTCCTCTCCAGAGTGATGACAATCATGTAGTTGTTTCTGACCTTTTCCCTCGTCATCTGTTCAGTCCCTTCCTGCCCCAGAGCCCACCCTGGTTTTTAAACCAAGAGAATCTAATATGGAATATGTTCAGCATCATCTCCTAGCAACTGAGGTACTTCAGTCCTGTGTTTACTGCGGGCGGGTTTTTCAGGGTGAAACGAAGGAGGAAGGAATGCAGCGGGTGTAATTGGAGCTGATGCCCTCTTCAGAGCACCTCCCAGCTTGCCCCAGCCAGGAAGGGGCGCGGAGGAGAGTCAGCACGTGTCCTCGAGGGCAGGGCCATGACCACCGGAAGACCTGCACACGCACGGCGGTGTGTCCCCCTGGGCCCGGCTGCCGGTGGAGCGCACCGTCCCTACCTCCTGGTCATCGGTGTTGCTCGAGCACCGCAGGAGAGTGGCCCAGCCCTTTGGGTGCAGCTGCAAGGACGTGATACAGTTTCCACGATCTCGCTCCCCAGGAACTTCAGGCGTCAAGACTTCAAGACTGTTTCGTGGTGAAATTCCTGAGAGGAAAGAAAATGAGGAGGTGGATTGGTACTGTCAAAGGACGGAGGCAGTTCATCCAAGTTCGATTCCGGCCGCCACCTCCCACAGCTCTGTTCCTGAATCTGCCCCTGAAGCTCCCACAGGTAAAGAGTAGGTAAGCTGCCTCCTCAGTGTCCGGGGGTGAGTACGCCTTTGGGGCAAGAACAAGGGGCGTGTAGGACTAGAACTGAAGAAGCCAGCTTCCTACAGCAGAAATCCCCAGTGACCTAAGGCCAGAGCATGAGCGCTCACTAGGGGTCCTTGGAATGGGGGCTGACATCTCAGAAAGCCCAAGTAAGAAACAAAGTTTTATGACCTGAAAGGAGTCTACAAAAGTGGAGGACACAGTTCTCATTCCACAGGGCCTGGGGCTCTCTGGTCCACAGAAGGAAATGCTTGGAAGCCATGAGAATTATCTTTAAAGAAATAAAAGGCAATTATGAACACAAACAGCATGACTTCTTACGGCTCCTAAAAAAACCCCACTGCCATTGAGTCAACTCTGACTCGTAGCCACTTTGCAGGACAGAGCACAACTGCCCCATCTGTTTCGAAGGCTGTAAATCTTTATGGAAGCAGACTGCCGCATCTTTCTCCCATGGAGTGGCTGGTGGGTCCGAACCACCAACCTTGTGGTTAGCATCCCAATGCTTTAACCACTGCCACCAGGGCTCCTCATGGCCCCTAAGGACAACACTGTAAATAACAAACAGGCCTGTAGCCCTGGAGGTGGAGGAGGACACCTCACACAAAGGCGTGCCACCAAGGAAGAGACGATGCCAACCGCACGTGTGGTCACTCTGCTGGGCCCCGCCCCCACTCCCTCTGCCTCTCTCCCAGTGGGAATACTGGCGAGAAGCCACTGTCAATTGTGGCAGTGCTGAAGGTGGCCCAGTATGCAGGGCACCATTCCACGCACACTGTGGGGAAGCAGCTTAGACACTCAGGATCAAGGGAAACCTTTCCAGGCTTCTCCGCCTGTGGGAGAGCTCTGCCAGGAGCTCTGGTGGCACAGTGCCTAAGGCATTCTGACCTCTAACCTGAAGGCTGGTGGTCCCAACTCACCAGCCACTCCATGGAAGGCAGACCAGGCCATCTACTTCTGTGAAGATTTTTAGTGTCGGAAACCCAACGGGTGTTGCGATGAGTCAGATGGACTAGATGACAGTGGGTCTGGGTTTGTTTGCTTTTCTGCCTGTGGAGGGAGCTGCTCTGAAAGAAAGGAGCTCTTCCGTCGGGTCCCTGGGGAACTGCTGCTCAGGCAGACGGCTCGCCTTCTTCCTACAGATCCCTGTAGGTCACTGGAACACTGACAGCCCTGTGCCACTCTGAACTACGCCGTCACAACTCCATCTACACCCAGTAACTATTCAGGTGTAATTGAACTTGAACATTGTAGAGAAAATAGTTTCAAGAATTAGTTTTGGAACAAAACAAAGCAGAAAAGAAACCCCTTCTAAGTGGTTCAGCAGGGCTTCTTCCTATGTTCTCTGGAGGTTCTCCAGGAACTGACAAAGGGGGAGCGAAGTGGAGATGGGGTAGAGCAAAGGGTCAGAGGCCACCCTGATTTCCTTTGACCCGCAGCAGCCCCTTTCTGTAAACGCTAAGTGCCTAGCAATCTACAGCCGAGTTCATTTCCAGAGAGAGTTCTGATGTGGAAGGGGTTACGACATCTGCCCACGGACGGAGCTAATGCCCTCTGATCCTGGAGACCCAGGATCTCCAACGGGCAGAGCACTTTCACCTGGAAGCCCACTCGCGCCTTCCTCCTCTCCGCCCACCCTCTCATCTCCTTCGTCTCTGCCCCAACTCTCTACAGCATGAAACTACCGTATATTTGTGTTTACCATTGGTCAACATTGGTCAACAACAAGCAAGCATGTTAACTATTCTTTTCTTCTTAAATTAAGTTTCTTTGTCTCGTGGATGGCTTAATCAATCAAGAAAGATTTTTCTCAATGATTATTAGGAGCCCTTGCTTGTTTCCCATGGCCAAAGTAGAAGATGAAGAACCTGCAAAAGAAGTTTCTGCTACAAATCAAAGGAGAAACGTTACCCCTGTCGGCACAAATCTTGATATTTACGGGGAAAAGTTATCAACCTTCAGGAGAAACATCACAGTCTTAAGCTCCCCGAGGGGAGCGGCTGGGACACAGGTCCAGAAGGGCCCTCAGACTGGTCCACGGGCACCAAGCAGCTGCCCAGACGACCGCTCGTGCATTACTGAGCATCCGCCAGGTGAGGCCCGAGAAAACAATTACAAGTCTTTAAGAAACAGAAGGATTAGACAGGAAGTTAGGAGGCAGTGAGCTGATGTTAATGGAGGAGGAGCAACCTGGAAAAGAAGGTGAGAAGGTTCCCCGACTTAGAACGGCGTCAGCGTCACTGAACTGTACGTGCAGAAACTGTTGAACTGGTGTATGCTCCGTGTGTATATTCCCAACGACGAAAGTAAATTACAGAAAAAGAAGAAGATGTAGTCTCTGCCCTAACTACTGAGGTGAGGAACATGCCTGTCTCCAAAATGTCAGTCAAAATGGCAAAGCCCCACACTGGCTATCGCTCCCCAGTTCACCAGGAGCAGGATACAGCACCAGTGCCCTAGAGCTCGGGTGTGGATCAGTACGGGCAGGGGAGAGGGGTGGAGAGTGCAGAGGTGGGAGAGGAGGCACAGTCTGTGCAGCTCCTTCTGCCAGAGTGGCTGGGAAGAAACTGGCAAAGGCAGAGTGGGGCCTGATTTGTCGCTCGCTTTGTCCCATAACCCCTCTGAGGTCACCAGGAATTGCCCTGAGAGAGCCCCTGCACAGCAAAAAGCCCAAGGGCTGGACCTGGGCCAGTTCACAAGCACCTGACAAACCCCTACCCTGACAGGGACACAGCGCTTTCCCATGTATTAGCCCATTTCACCTTCACAGCCTTGATTGGAAGCTACATTTCCCAACTAGCCCACACTAAGTCCAGCTGATAAAATCAAAGCTCCAATTCCAACAGAGATACTCCATCTTGGGAACCCTGGTTAGCTCCCTGAAATGATGACTGAGGGGCGAGCAGCCTCACTGCCACCGACTTTGTTACAGACTGAAGCCACATCAAGAAAGCTACCTGGCAGAATCGGTTGCTGCAGGACTGTAAAATCCAAGCTTTAACTTACCTTCTCTCTGAGAGGCCCGTGACAGGTGTTTCTCAGAAGGTGAGTTAGAGTCATGATGGCAAGGTGAACCAGAAACTCTAGGACCAGATGAACTTGACGAAGTGGTCAAATCTTAAAAATACAAAAAGTTCTGCGATAAACCTAGCACAACTCTGACAGTCTGTCTTAACTTTTAAATTACCTACTTGAACCCTATTTTTAAAATGTACCTGAATCGTGGTAACTTCATGCCCATGTAAAACTGACCTATCACTAAGGCTCACAGGAAGACAAGGTAGCTCTTGGAACTGTTCTCTAAGGCCAAGCTGCTTTGTAAAATCTTTATACCAAAGATTAACTTACATGAAAGAAAGATGAAAAACAGAAACATAGGAGCATTTAGTCCCCCATCATTTCTGTGGTGAAATGGAGCAAGGCAATTCGGTGACATGAAAGTTGAGCTGTCCCATCTGTGGTTTAATGTTAGAACAGGGTCCAGACAATGGATCCGTTTGTGGGACCATGAGTAGATCCTTCCCAAAGCATACTAAAAACATCTATTATCATTCCTGAAGTTACACAAATACTATGTTTGAAATTTGTGGAAAGATAAAATATCAGAGTTGAGTTTGATATAATACTCCCAAGAGTTGATTCCCATTTCATGACCTGTTCTGACAGCCCTGCACATCTGCGAATCCTCGTGATCTCCCCTTAGATGCCACCATCACGTCTATTCCACGTCACAGCAACCCCCCTCGAAGACAGAAAACTTGTGTTTGAGTCAAAAAGGGCTAACTAGGCCTTCTAAATCACTACTTATCACTAAGCTAAAGTTGATCATCAGTATTTATTTATTTTTTTTAATAAAAGGGCAATTCCCAGTCTAAATGAATTTATTTATTCATTATTTATTAAATTACTTGCTTGCAAGTAAGCTGGTCAATTTCTACTTTAGCAGTGAAATTGGGCAATTACAGTGAACTTACGCCCACATATCACCAAAGGAGCCTTCAGGAGTGGCCCTCCGCACACAGAGAGAGATCATTGTCCGCCCATTTGAAGCTGCCTTTTAATAGCAACTTACGAACATTCTGTGTTCCAGATGTTTAAAGCTTTTTTTTTTCCTGGGTTTTTGTTCACTGTCACAATACTAAAAATGATGAGACTGTTCAACCCTCTTTAGCCTAAAGGTAGATGAAATAGTCTCTTTATCACATACCAAAAAATTCAAACTCACTGCTTTCCAGTCAGATCCGATTCCTAGCGGTTTCCGAGGTGGTACCACTACAGAAGTAGATGCCCCATCTTCCTTCCAAGGAGTGGCTGGTGGGTTTGAACCTCCAGCCTTCTGGTTAGCAGTCAAATGCCTTAGGCACTATACCACCAGAGCTTCTCTTTATCACATAATGTAGACCAAACAGAGTATCAAGTTCTTCTGAGCTCCAAGTTCACTTGGAAGGATAGGGCTTTAGCAAGATAGTATGGTGCCAACCACCTGTCTGACATCTGGAAATCTAGGACACAACTCAGACTTAAAATGAAATCTTTCCGTATTAACCACAACTTAAGAGCTCTGCTGGATTCCCGAAGGGCTTAAGAAGATGGATATCCCCTTGGGCTCTCACCTTTTTTCCATGCTTCCCGAGGTACTGGCCAAGCCTCTGTTTAGCAGAGAGCGGAAAGCAAATACCTGCAGGGTCAGCAGCTCTACACGTGAGGCCGAAGCACAACTTGCTGTTATTCAGATACACACAGAGCACTGCGTTTCCCTGGAGAAGAGCTCTCGCCGAGCGTCCCTTTTCAAGTCCCTCCCCTTCCTCAGTCATACTCTCAGAACAGACACAGTCCTATGCCTGGGACTCTAGAAACTCCTATTTTAATCAAAAAAGGGCAGCTTACCTGAACTTGATGTAGTCCTTCTTGCTCTCAAAATTGGATAGCTGCCTACTTCTAAAGACTTAGTTAAGTCAAGGTCATGCAAAATCAAGAGATACCCAGACGAAGTTGAGATCAACATTTTGGAACAATCTGGCGTTAATCTCATTCGCATGAGAAAACGTGTGTGAAAGAATTTCTTATGCGGACACCCATCTTCTGTACACCTACAGGAGAAATCAAACCAATAAAAACCAGGATTATCATACATATAATGGCTCAGTGATAGTCACATATTTTATTGACCCGATAAGCTAGAATTTACAATGTCTAAGGAGCTCTGGTGGTGCAGTGCCTAAGGTGGTTTGACTGCTAACCAGAAGGCTGGCGGTTCAAACCCACCAGCCACTCTGTGGAAGGAAGACAAGGCAATCTACTTCCATAGTGATACAGCCTCAGAAACCCAAGGAGGGGTTGCTATGAGTCGGACCTGACTCGATAGCAGTGAGTTGGTTTTAGTTTTTTTAGGTTGACAGTCGCTTCTTTCTGCATACTGAGGATAATAGTTCACTGAGTTGGGGCTTCCATTGTTGATTTTTGTTAAATCTTCTATCAGTATACAGTCACTTTGGATAATCTTTTTATTCCTCTGGCTGTTTTAAGATCTTCTCTTTGTCTTTGGAGTGGGGCAGTTTCACTCTGATATGTATAGTTTTATATTCTTATATTTTGTTGGGATTCACTTTCTAAATTGTAAGATTCTTGTTATTCATATATTCTGGAAAGTTATCAGCCATTATTCCAAGAGCGTTTCTTATCCATTTTTTCTATTATCTCCTTTTGGAGCTCCAAATAGATGTTTGGGACACTCACATTTGACCTTCCTTGTCTCATAACTAGGAGTCCTGGTGGCATAGTGCCTAAGGCATTTGACTGCTAACCAGAAGGATGGTGGTTCAAACCCGCCAGCCACTCCTCGGAAGTAAGGTTAGGCAATCTATTTCCATAGAAATACCGCCTTGGAAACCCAAGAAGAGGTTGCTATGAGTTGGATCTGACTTGACAGCAGTGCATTGCATTGCGTTGCACTGTCTGATAACTGCTCTTTCAAGTTTTCTATCTCCCCATCATCTCCATATGTTGTATTTTGGGTAAATTCTCAATATTTATCTTCCAATGTATTTTTTTTTTTCCAGTTGTGCCTAACCTGCTATTTGACCTGCCTTGTTTTTAAAATTTCAATAGTTGTATTTTTTTTTCTTTACTTGAGTTCTATTTGGCTCTTTCCAAAATCCATAATAGATTCTGTGCCTTACCCATGACCTTTATCCCCTCCTCTTTTCCCTTTTGTTAATCGTTCTTTAGCATACCTACAGAACGGTACATAGGAAGAGTTTACAGAAAAATAAGCCCTGTGACTCATCACCTATGATGGGAATTATAACACTACTGTAGACAGCCCCTATTTCTCTTCCGACTGCATTCGACTCATTTCAAGCAACATCTTCTTACACTGTACCTCTAGAGATATGATTGTCCCATTTGCATGTCTCTGTAGTAGAAACTTTTCTCATATGTTGCATTATTTTTGTCTGTCTATGCCTAAGGCATTTGCCGGCTAATCAGAAGGTTGGTGGTTCTAAACCCACCAGCCACTCTGCAGAAGGAAGACAGGGTGATCTTCTGTAGATTTACCACCTCGGAAACCCAGTGGTGGTCATGATAAGTGGGAATAGACTATGGAAGTGAGTTGGTTGTTTTTTTTCCTCCCCCATGAATAAAAGGAACCAAGAAGCTGAATGGAAACTCTGAGCACATATCTAGGACTCAGGCTTCACTACATAGGGTTTTCTAGTTGGGCCATTTTTGGAGGACTCCCAACATCAGTATCTTTGGCACACCAGCTGGAGGAAGGCTGAGGCTCTCTGCATTCAATATTGAGTATATTGAGTGTATATATATATATCACTCCTTCTCCCCCAGTCTCCTAAGGTACCAAAGCCTTCTCTATTTTATTCTTTTTAGAGAATGAAAGTCCAACTTCTGCTGAACTGGGAAGAGGTCAGCTACACAGCAGACCGACTTAAGGGAGGAGATGTATCTTTCACTTGAATCCTTACTTTAGCTGCGCCTTTTACTACAGAGATACCCAGAGTTGCCAGTTCCCACGATTCTTCAAGATTCTGCATAAATTGTCTTAAATTCTCAATTTTTCCCCATTACAAGCTTGGAATTCTTTCTTGGACTTTTTAAGTCAAGGTATCGAAAACAATTCCACTCACCTATCTGCTTTCCAGCTTCTAAATTTTGTTTTGTTTCCCCTCCTATTTCCTGTCCATTGAGTTCACTCATAACTTAAAAAAAATTGCCTCTGGTAATTTTAAAGGGGTCTTCTCATCCATAGACTTTATTTGTTGTTGTTAGATGCCATCGAGTCGGCCCCAACTCATAGCGACTCCTCCTTGGGTTTCCGAGGCGGTATCACCACAGAAGTAGATTGCCCAACCTTCCTTCCGAGGAGTGGCTGGTAGGTTTGAAGATTTTATTTAGGTCTTCTAAAATAAATGTTCTCTGTAAATGCTAAATAAATCTTCTATTGTGATTTATTCCTGTGCAGTAGGTAATATTTTTTAATTAAAAATAATATACTTAAAACACGACCTTTTGAGATCGTTGGTTGTGATGTATAGGAACACCATCGACTGTGACAGTGTCATTTTTATCTAGCAATCTTGATGAACTCTTTACTAAATCTGTTATTTGACTGAAGGGTTTTAGGATTTTCTATATAGACCAGGGGTTGGTAAACTATACTCTGTGGGCCCAATCTAGCCCACTGCTAATTTTTATAAAGAAAATTTTGTTGGAACACAGCTACACCCATTTATGCATTGCCTACGGCTGCTCAGAGACCATACAGCACACAAAGCCTAAGAGTATTTACTACTGCGCCCTGTCCACCACTTGTCTGTCAGTTTGTTCAACTTGTCATATGGTGGTGGCTTGCGTGTTGCTGCGAGACTGGAGGCCGTGCCACTGGTATTTCAAATATCTGCAGGGTCACCCAGGGTGGACAGGTTGCAGTGGAGCTTCCAGACTAACACAGGCTGGGAAGAAGGAAGGGGCTATCCACTTCTCAAAGAACTGGCCAGTGAAAACCTTATGAATAGCCCTGAAACATCTCTGATACAGTGCCGGAGATAAGCCCCTCAAGTTGGAAGGCACTCAAAAGACAACTGGGGAAGAGATCCCTCCTCAAAGTAGAGTTACCCTTAATGACATGGATGGAGTACAGCTTTTGGGACCCCTCCATTTGCTGACTGGGCACAACTCATAATGGGAAGAAACAGCTGCAAACATCCATTACTAACTGGAATGTGGAATGTATGAAGTATGAATCTAGGAAAACTGGAAGTTGTCAAAAATGAAATGGAACACATAAAGATCAATTATTTTAGGCATTAGTGAGCTAAAATGGACTGTTTTTGGCCATTTTGAATCAGATAATCATATAATCTACTATGCCAGAAAAGATAAAGTGAAGAGATATGGTGTGGTATTCATCGTCACAAAGAATGTTTCAAGATCGATCCTGAAGTACAATGCTATCAGTGATAGGATAATGTCCACATGCCTACAAGGAAGACCAGTTAATACTACTATTATTCAAATTTATGCACCAATCACTCAAGCCAAATATGAGGAAACTGAAGATTTTTTACCAACTTCAGCAGTCTGAAATTGACCAAATATGCTATTAAGATATATTGATCATTACTGGTGATTTGGAATGCAAAAGTTTGAAACAAAGAAGAATCACCAGTAGTTGGAAAATATGGCCTTGAAGACAGAAATGACACTGGAGACCACATGACTGAATTTTGCAAGATCTATTACTTATTCATTGAAAATACCTTTTTTCAACATGAACAATGGCTATACACGTGGACCTTGCCATGTGGAATACACAGCAATCAGACTGACTACATCTGTGCAACAAAGGCTGGAGATGTTCAGTATCTTCACCCAAAACAAGGCCAGGGGCTGAATGTGGAACAGACATCAATTGTGCATATGCAAGTTCAAGATGAAGCTGAAGAAAATGAAAACAAGTCCATGAGAGCCAAAATATGACCTTGATTATATCTCACCTGAGTTTAGACACTATTTGAAGAATAGAGTTGATGCACTGGACACCAATGACAACAAACCAGACAAATTGTGGGATGACATCAAGAACATCATACAGGAAGAAAGCAAAAGGTTGTTAAAAAGACAGGAAAGGAAAAACCACCAAAATGGATGTCAGAAGAGATTCTGAAACTTGTTCTTAAACAGAGAATAGCTAAAGCAATGACAAGATAAAAGAGCTGAACAGAACATTTCAAAGAGCAGTTTGAGAAGACAAAGTCAATTATTGTAATGAAACATGCAAAGATCTGGAGTTAGAAAACCAAAAGGGAAGAACATGCTCTGCATTTCTCAAGCTGAAAGAACAAAGGAAAAAATTCAAGCCTTGAGCTGCAATATTGAAAGATTCCATGGGCAAAATACAGGAAACATCAAAAGAAGATGGAAGGAATACACAGAGTCACTGTACCAAGAAGAATCAGTCAATGTTCATCCATTTCGGGAGGTGGCATATCATCAAGAACCAATAAGCAGCATCACAATAAATGAAAAAAGGACTGAAGCTGTCAAAAATTTCATATTACCTGGATCCATAAGCAACAGCCATGGAAGCAGCAGTCAAGACATCAGATGTCACACTGCACTGGGCTAATCTGCTGCAAAAGACTTCTTTAAAGTGCTGAGAAGCAAAGATATCCCTCTGAAGACTAAGGTGCGCCTATCCCAAGCCATGGTATTTTCAAAAGCATGTGAAAGCTGGATAATGATTAAGAAAGACTGAAAAAGAGTCGATGCTTTTGAGTTGTGGTGTTGGCAAAGAATACTGAAAGTACAATGGACTGCCAGAAGCACAAACAAATCTGTCCTGGAAGAAGTACAACCAGAATGCTCCTTGGGAGTGAAAATGGCCAGACTTCGTCTCCCCCACTTTGATCATGCTGTCAGAAAGGACCATTCCATGGAGAAGGGTATCATGCTTGGTAAAGTCCAGGGGCAGAGAAAAAGGAGGAGACCCTCAACAAGATGGATTGACACAGTGGCTGCGATGATGGGCTCCAGTATAGCAAGGATCGTGAGGCTGGCGCACGACCAGGCG